CCTACTTTAACTGCGTTTCAGTGCATAGGCCGCCACACTCTTCGAACACCTGTTGTCACACGTACGTTTGATACCATTCGGTTCGCTGGATGACGCCGGCGCGACTCCTTTTCTAATACGGCCAGGCTTTGCCGGTTTTGCTTACTTTGCCGCGCCCACCTGCTTGCTTATGTTTGAAAGCTCAACTAGTACTCGGTTTCTCTCTCATCTGCGCCCTTGATCAACGCTGCTTACCGCCATTTCGTTTACGGTAATAGTGTCGAAAATAGTAGGTATGAGGTTATTGCTCAAGGAGCGTTGACTATGTGTACAGGTAAAATAAAAGCCGGATAATTGTTGAGTATCCGGTGTAGAAGGAGGTAAGCACGGCGAAGCCACGCCCGCCCGGCTAAGCCGGGCCGTATCACGGAAGGAGGCGCGCCGGCGTTAGCCGGCGAGCCGACTGGTTTTCGCATCTCCCCTCAAAGTTCTTTTCTGCTTTCCGCTATCAAGGCAACGTCATCGGCGTGGAGAATGGTCTTGAGTGGCCCCTTCATGTGTGAATTTGTCATGACAGCCAGGGTTAGTAGGAGTAGGAAGGGGCTAAGAGCTAACCCTTGTTGATGCCCCAACCCTTATGTCTACCTCCCTTGTGAGGTCTGAGGTCGTGCCGGGTTTCTATAGCCGCAGGTCCTTGCCCCATCGTACAGGTCCTTCATCAGGGAGATGAGGAGCTCGGGAAGCTCGGGAACATTCCGTTCTCTGTGAGCCCTTCACAGTGCAGGTTGCGGTAAGCGATCCAAGGCCTTCTAGAGGTCCAGGAAGGCTAGGTAGCGAGGTCGACACTTCTCTCGATACTTCTCCATTACCTGTCTGGCGATTAAGATGGCATCCATAGTAGACTTTTTTGGTATGAAGCCGGATTGCTTTTGCGAGATTGGAACGCCCTCAGCCTTGTGTTAATTAGCCTCACGTACAGCTTCATGGTATGTGCAGTCTTCTTTCTGCTTTAACACATCGAACGCCGCGTGAATTGTAGGCAAACACGCGCATACTCCCGTTCCTCACGTTTGTGTATTGCCCACAATTCACGATTTGAAGGTCAGTATTTTCGTGGTTAAAAGTACGGCATGAACCATTCTCACCGAATATATGTTCAGTGAGCTTTGCTCATGCTTTGTTTTTGATGGCGTTGAGTAAGCTGTTCATTGGAGTGATTCATTAATATTACAAAATAACAGTCAAAAATTGAGTGTTATTCTAATTCTTATGATAGCTTCGCATTACTGCAGTGGTAGTAAGATTACTAGTGATAATTAGTGTGTCAAGTTGTAATACATTTGATAGTGTTTAATTCATTATGATAACAATACTTATGTTGTCGAAACTGCCGTTTAGATCTTCTACGATTTCCACATCCATCTATGCAGCTAAAAGAAGTCGTCATTCATAGTGAACAATGTAGAAGTGAGCGCAAAAGTAACTAGAATGAGCGTGTAAAGAGGCATTCGGCACAAAGACTCCCTTTTCGCACGTTTGTGTATTGCACGCAATTCCCGCGCGGGGAGACGCATGAATTGAAAACGGGAGCAGCCGCAAAAACGCCGCGGCGTCCAATGTGTTAAGGTGGGGACGACTGTACTGCACCTCCAAGCGTCCGCCACTCTTCCTTTATTGTTTAAGAAGCGGGTGTGCCGAATTCTATGCTTTCCGAGAGCCTTCTACGCCTCAGTCGGTATCTTATCTGGACCAGTCACCTTCCCAACGTTAATTCTTCCTAGCTCCGTGCAGACCCGCAGACTCTGGTAAGACTAGCCGTCGGCTCTGTTTGTGAGCTGTCTTTCCGAGGAAACTCCTCGTTCAGAAGTTCCAAAGTACCCTTCCCACCCTTCTCTTGACTTCGGCTGGCTTCTTTAACATGCTACAGTCACAGCCTTTCACAGTCTCCACTACACTTGTCTTGGATAGCCCGATATCGGGCTTTAGCCAGCCGGAAGACGAACTTGTCTTCTTCTGGGCTGTCCAATTTTTCTACAGAGCATCCATTTCCGTGTTGTTATTTTTGGCTTGTGGTTGCCTTAGCGAGTCGTCTGACCTCTTGTATGCAGCGAGATGTTCTGAAGTCCTTGTCTTCTGCCATTGCTTGTACGCTCCTTTCGTCCGCTTAACCACCTGTTGGACTCCTCGTTCCAGAACCACACTGCCCTGTCTACTCTGGTTCCGTCTCCTCCAACTTCTTTGAAAACCGAATGATGGCACGTGTTGCGCTAGTTCAAGTGTCCTAGGTACGTCTCTGAGGATCTGGGAGACCAGTTACCCTCGTTCTGAGCGCATCCTTCTCCACTTGGCGTAACTTGTACTACCGAATTATCCGCTTGCTCTCTTAGGGAGGTCCATTGCGATGTCTGCCAGGAGAGGACTGTGCTGAGAGCCCAGTTCTTCACCAGGCAGTTCTTACCCGTTTTGAGGAATGATCTTCTTACGAGCATGGCCGACCTCAGTTTATCTTCCTCCACTACGGTAGATTATCTTCTGGGTCTGCCTTTTTGCGAAGAACGCGCTGCAGACCGCTAGGTCGTGGGCTGTTGTTAGATCCATTACCTTCTCTTCCTCGGTGTTCGTCGTTCCTATCCCTCTGCTTCCATGCACTCTTTCTATGCCCTTTCCTTCACTGCCGACATGGCCCTTTAGATCGCCTGCTATGGTGAGATAGTCCTTTCTAGAACCGATCTGATGGTCTGGTCCAGGGTCATGTAGGAGTCATCCTGCTTGAGCTCAGGGCAACCAGCTTGCGGTGCGTATACACTTATTATTGTCTAGTACCCCTCCTTCGAGTTCATTCTCGCTCCCATGATTCGATCCCTGACCCTGTTCACAGAGGAAACGCAGTCCTTGGGGGAGAAGGGGGGGGGGAGGCTCCGCGACCACTTGGTTCCGCTCCGTTTTCTTCATTGCTGTTGAAGTTCCACCCCTTCTCCAATCTCACGGGCCTTGGTTCCTTTCCATCACTTTTCCTGAAGTCATAGGATTTGGATGTTCCTTCGTTTCATCAGATCAGCGACCTTTCGAGATTTTCTGGTCAACGATCTCCCGTTCATAGTCCCAGTTCGAACTAGCTTCTTGAGCCGAGTCGTTTACCCTTCGGTAGCCCTCGCATACTGAACACAGAAGTGAGCGAGGGTTCTGTGCGTCATTTGGGGGTGACATCCTACCACTGATTCTTTTGCGACTTTCAGTCGTGGTTGTTGTGATTGGGTTCTCTATCAGCCGGCCTTTCAACCTGGATGTGACTCTGGGATCGGCACAATTTTTTCAATTTTTGTAAGGCATTTTCTTTGCCTCTGCAGGGATCGAACTCTTGGCCTTTTCTAGAGTGGTTGCGAACATGAGGCCACCCTATTCAACGCTCGGCTATCACTGCCTTAGTGCCGCAATTTACATTAATCATAGGTATTTTTCTGGTGACGATTACAACCCGCGTTCACACAGTCTCTCTGAAATACGCTCGTAGGGCAACATCTTGCCTGCCTCACTCCAACAATACTGTTGCTTGAAGATGGGTATGTGGTGTTCTTGAAAGATTCTCACTTCTTACCTATCATGCCCCATGGCGGACTCGCCTGTGCGGTTGCCTCACTTAATTAGTAGCTCGCTGACTCCTCACCCTCTCGATTTGGCGATCACATAAGAATACTTTAAGAAATTCGTTATTACATGAGTCAATATCATTGAACCATGAAGTGCGAAATATGAATCGAATAAAGCACAAAAAATATGAAAAACACTTCTGAATTAAGTCATCGCAGTACATTAATACTTGCAAGGGATTAAAATTTAAATTTCGGCTAAAAACTCGCTTCTAGCGACAGTTTAAGCCCTTAGACACAATTTCGCACTCGTTTTGCCCGAAAAGTTTGCACTAGAAATTGGATTGCTTCACATGCACGGAATGCACAAGTTCTTTTGGACCAGTGAGCAGTCAAAATTTGTTGAGAGCTGCTCTCAAATCCTTTGTAGGCGTGTATGGGCAAACTTTGCTGTCCTAGCGCAGTTAAACTTTGCTCCAGAAATCTCATTACGAAGGCAAAAGAGCATATCAACCGAACCTATGACATGCTACCAATTAAGCATTGCCCCACGTCGTTATCTCTGGGTTTACCCACGCATAAAACATAAGCGCGCTTCCATGTGAAGAAATGTAGAACGATGCGCACGACAAAGCCTTCACCAGTTAAGGGATATTCGCCACATTTTGGAAGAAAATTCGTGATCAGCCTCAAAAAAGACGTCTGAGACATTGGTTTCTTCACAATCACCTCTTCGACATGGGGTCCCCTCCTAGTAAGATTTCAGTACTATGAAGTATTTGAAGAACCGGTGAGCTCATGCAAAATGAAGAGGTTTGATTTAACAGGCGAAGAGAGGAATGGGTATACAAAAGAATAGGGTGTGATCGTATGCTGATAAAGCAAGGAATTGGTGGGAACAGTGAAAAACTGGTAAGTGCTTTTGTGACGATGTCCTTCATTCGTGCTTTACTTAAGGGAAAAAGGAAACAGGATGAGTTGGAGGTTCCCGCTAAACCCTCGTATGACTTATTAGGGACTAAATTTCTTATTAGGCGTGAACTTTATAAAACGGATTAAAAGCGATTAAAAGTACTAAAGGGCATCTCTAACAAATTAACCTCCCTATAGGCGGGCAGCAACCAGAGTGATGCAAAACACATCTGACGCCCTGATCTCATAAAATTTTGATTCTGGGGTGCATTCTAGGCTAGATAAATTGAATATTCCTCACACATCAGCATTACATGCATTTCTCACCCATTTATTGAGAAAAAAATGGAAAACAAAATATTGGACGCTCCGGCCGTTACACCAGATGAACCATCACTGCCTCGCCAACTCCACGCTCAGACCGCTAAATTTCATGCTATGTGTTTTTCAGTTCTGTCTTATGGTTTAATGTGTTCTTTAAATTTTGAATCCATCGAAGTTTTGTTCACACATTCTTTTATTATGTTCTGCCTGTTGCTTTTCATGCTACATTTGGCTGAGCTGTGCCTGTCGACGAGAGATCACGAGCCAGCGAGCAACCACTTAAGGGAGGCGACCCCACAGGCAAGTCTGTTGATGTGCGAGGAAGGTGAGAAAGAGAATCTCTTAAGAAAGTTCGACACCCCTCGAAGATAGATACCATTCATAGTGTACTTAATAAGGAACCGCGTTTTATACTTATCAATACAATAGTTCTGTTTTGAGGAACATACCAGTGGAGTAGAACCTGATATGAACTTCGTGCCGATCGGTAATCATTTTTTCTCCTGCAATCAGAAAGAAAAATGACGCATGGTCAAAACGAAACGAATTGTAGGGAGAAGTCCATGTTCCAGGTAATGGGAAGGAAAGCGAAAGAAAAGGAAGCAGTTAACAAGACACATAGTACGCGTCATACCACATTGAGGGTGTTATGAGACTATCAGCCCCCCAGATGTCGATGTGTCGTGGTCCCCCCACCCAAACATGCCCGGGAATGGAGATACAGGGCCGTGAAACACGCTAATTCTTCCATGCTCCGCCCACTGCCTTTTTACGGCGCAATTCCCGCCGTTGATAACATCCGTTGCAAGCGCGCCTGTCCCGTACGGCTCCTTGGCACTTTGCCAAGTCCTTTAATGCGCTCCTCAAATACAAGGAAAACGCAATTCCTGATGCGGATAACATTGGAGGTGCTACAAAATAAGAACAGAAGATGATGACAAGGGGCAGAACTCAAGAGCAACTCGCTGCATCTGCAGTATCCATCAAGGGCCGCGCGCATTCCCACAAAACATGAAAATAAAAAACAGCCCAAGCGTCCCACTCGTTTGTTCTAAGTATTTCAATGGCTTTGGCGCCGGACCGAGAAATTTACAGCCAGGTTATCTAATTTGCCTTCCTTGATTTTTTCATTTTTGTTTTGTTTACATTTACATCGTTGTGCTTCATTTCTAGCCTGTGTCATCTTCATCTCCTTGTACATGGATTTTGAAGGCATTAGCAACACCTTAAATTTATTCGCATCAGGAAATTGCGTCTTGCTTGTATTAAACTAACGAGTATGCCGTTTTTAGTTTTTATTTTCATGTTTCGTGGAAATACGTGGCCTCCGAGGGATGTTGCAGAAGTGGCACAGTTGCTTTTAGGTTCTGACCCTCGTCATCATCTTCTGCTCTTATTTGTAGTAGCACCTCCAATGTTATCCGCATCAGGAAATTGCGTTTTCCTTGTATTTGAGAGCGCAATTAAAGGACTTGGCAAAGTGCCAAGGAGCCGTACGCGACAGGCGCGCTTGCAACGAATGTTATCAACGGCGGGAATCCGCGCCGTAAAAAGGCAGTGGGCGGAGCATGGAAGAATTAGCGTGTTCCACGGCCTTGTATCTCCATTCCCGGGCATGTTTGGCGGGGGGACCACGACACATCGACATCTGGGGGGCTGATAGTCAGGTAATGGGAAGGAAAGCGAAAGAAAAGGAAAGCACACAGTCGTAAGTAGGAAAGAAAACTCCGTTTATTTATATCATCGTAATTGAAGATGGCTTATATTTAGAATGGAGCTCAAAGATAAGAAGCTCGAGAGTTAGAAAAGTCAAAAGGCGGGAAATCATATTTAAATTTCACCTGAACAGCGGTATAGCACAGGAGGGCTCAGCTAGGTCTATCAAAAACCATAAAACACGAGAAAGGTGTTTCAATGAAGTGCAGATACCGAAACCCGTTAAGTGCTAAGAAAGCTGCTCAAGTGAGCCATAATTCGAGAACGAGAAAGAACAGCTAAAAAAACGAGAAAGAAGGCATCTGTTGAAGACAGTGGAAGAGAAGAAATGTTAAGAAGTTCAAAGGCCCCACCAGTTCCCGCCTACATGACGCCTTCGCTTCGACCACTAGTCTATTCCCGCGATTGAGTGGACCGTGAAGTGCCTCCATACAGCTGATAGACTTGTTCGGCCCTGCTCAGATAGTGTTCCTCACACGAACACGTCAGTAAGGTGGTCGACCTTTTACTGACTACTTTAACGTTCCCAGGCTGCAAGAGAAACACTTGATCCGCCGGTTTATTCTGCTTTCCGTGGATACCCAGATGCCTTTTTGAAAACGCGATAAATAGCAATTTAGTTCGCAGAGATGCGAAGGTGCGTTCGAGCACCGCTTAAATTCACCGGCGATGCAGGAGGAGCGGTGCAGGAAGTTGTTTCCTGGTACGGGTTTCTTCCTGCAGTTTTATTTTTCACGTCTTAATATTGGATAGCATTGGCACTCAGTACTGGAAGGTACAAAGAACGATTTTCGAGTCAGGGTTTGCAAAAGGCCACAGGGTGTCGATTTGCCTGCACATTCTGAGAACTCGTGCAATGAGGCTGCCAGGGAAGGGTTTCGTTTGAGGTGATATTGGAGTTTCCTATTGCTTTCTCTGTCGCTGCAGCATACGCGGCGCTTGTTCATGAATCGCGTTTGTTTTTAAAACTTTCTACCTCTTTCGTCCTGCTGGTGTTTGTCTGACGATCCATCCCTTGTCTGCCTCCTCATTCCTCGCAGTGACGGCACACTGCTGCTCCATGCTGCAGTTCGTGGACCCGCCGCGCTTCCAGGTAGGATGGGCGTGAGCCTCAATTAGCGCTCTACCAGATGGAGCAGTATGCCCGAGAACATCATTGTATGAAGAGCGCACAAGGCTCTCTAGTTCTTTAAGTATCCCTGCAGCTTTCTTCTCTGAGAGGGACGCGCACCCACTGCTCTTGGTAACATCATAAGGCTCTTATTGATGGCAGACAGACTAGCCCACTGTCGCGTCTTTGGCCATCTACCACGGCGGAGCCCAAGCGTACGGCCCGAGTACTTTCCACTCAACCTGATCTAGTCTCCTAAGTTTATATTTGAAAGCGTTGTTTTTACGCAGCCCTGCCACTAATTGACTTTGACTGCTCCATGTTTATTCTTATTCTTGCCCCAAGCAAAGATTTTTCTTCCCTCCTTCTCTTTCCCTGTGATGAATGGGATTCTTCTCATGCTGTTTCCGACCTTGTCTAGCTCACACATTGAGCGCAGAGAACTCACCACCCGAGTTCTCCTTCTTTGCTGACTTGACCATTTGTATCTAGGTTTCACTCATTATTTACAAGCAGAAAAAGTACCAATCTTCCGATGCTTGTCCTTACCTACCACAAACGATGACTTCTCGTTATTTGGGAGCAAAACAACATTACCTGTCATGCGGTAATCATATGAGCGATTTCCTCTTTCCCGCAGGGGTGCTGGTGACTGTACTCGATCAGTCAGTTGTTAAGCACAAATTGCTGGACAAATTCGGGCACTCAACTATTACTACCCCAGAAACCAGAGAAGTTTCACCAAAAAAATCTTGGTGTAACTTTGTCCGTAAATGTAAATAATAAATGTTCGTATGCAATTCGATGTCCTGATCACGAGTATGACATTCGTCTTTGGCGCTGGCGCCAACTTGGCGCCACAACGTTTCTCACCAGAATCGATGTAAACTTGCATACTGGGGTTATTCGGTACTCTGATCACGGATATGACATTCATCTTTGACCCCAGCCCCATTCCGCGCCATTATGGGTCTCTTTGGGCTATACCCTTTTTCATGAAAATCGGTAAATCCGCATAATAGGGTTGTTTGATGCACTGATCGCGAATATGGCTCTTCATTTTTCAGCACCAGCGGTACTTAGCGCCTTGCTGAGGCCTGGGAGAAGGGGTGATTCCCTTCAGGCCAGGCCTAGCCTTAGCAGAGCGCACACTATCGTAGTGTACTCCTTAGCACCAACGCCAAGAGTGAGTGTCATATTCACCGTCAGCATGTCAAATAACCCCTATATACATGTTTTCAGCGGATTTGGTGATCTAGGGTATCTTGGCACCGGCGCCAGGTATTTTCGGACCGAGCGGATGTAATATTCTTGTTCAGAAGGTCGTACTACCCCTGGCACCGAGTTTTCAGGCTAATCTCCGCCTTAGGAAAAAGTTAGTCAAAAATTGGCTGTTTGCGGTGGTGTAGTAAAGTTGATTAGTTGAATTGTGCACAAAATTGTTCCGTTCATCAGCCTGAGGAGTCGTTCATATCATAACAATAGTCAAACACAGTGCTTTCAGAAATAGTGGAAGCGATCCGTGCAGAGAATCAAGGCACTCTGCTGCAAACGCTACCAGCTTCCCGCTCGACTGCTTTGAAAACAGAAGTCAAGAATTCGCATATAAAGAACGTGAAGAGAAGAGAGGAGGCTGAGGTTTCGCCTGCTGTTGCTCAAGAAGAAGTTATTTCCTTTCTTTGTGTATATTTATACAATTGTTTCGTCTCACCTATTTATTTTTTCAGGCAGTCGATATGTTATGCAGCGGGCTACGAACTGATGTAGAAACCACTCACTTACAAAATCCCCTTTGTTCTGATGACCCTTCCTGTGCATCCTCTGAAGCTAGCAATCCTTGCGAAAGAAGATACCGTATTCATTTGGGGTCAACGTTTATTTTCATAGTGCATTTCGGCGAGGTCTTACGAGAATCATTGTTTGTAGGTGCGAATCATTAGCCAGAGTGAGTCCGAATCTTCATCATCAAGCTGAGGGGATGAATGACAAGCACGTTTCGGGAAATCTGTGCACGCCTTCTCGTGCTGCGGTAAGCGTTCTTATTTGATGTTCCGCCGATTTTTTCAACCCGACTATTCAGACACCTTTTACTTCACTTCTGCTGTTTGCTTCACTTTTGCTCGCTGTGCCGTGACGCTTTCTTTACTTTATTCTCTTGAATTTTTCTAATTTCTTTACAAGTCGGTTACGTTCGATTTGTTGTTTCGCTCATCTGCGATCTTTTTTTGCGGTCTCTTCACTGGGTTACGGGATTTCAATCACTTCTTTTTTTCAATCAAGGGCACTTTTCTTGTTACCCGCACCCGACTCTCGACCAGCTTTCGGTTTTATTGATTGACTGCTATGCCAAGGGGTACCAAAAGGAAGTCTGTCGAAGATGATGTATCCTTCATTACTCGGGACATGCCGCTTTGGGCCACGAAGATGATTGGGAAGTATGAATTGTGCAGTGTAAGGATCGAGAAGGCTTTGACATCGTCATTGGAGAAGATGATGGCCAAGATCGCCAAGATAGATGAAGTCCAGCAGTCAATCCTCTCCCGTCTCACTGCCGTTGAAGCAACATTGAAGCAATGAAAAATTATGCCCCTATGTCACAAAGTGCCCTGTATCCAACGATCGTGGAAGTCCGAACGGACGAATCCAAAAACGAGGGTGAGTTCCGCAGGATTGCGTCTGTTGGAATTAGGGAGCAAAGGGACTAAATCGCGGCTCGAAATTTCGACCATGAGGCACTCAAGTAAGTTATAGAGACATCAGGAGATACGGAACTCGCGGCGTAGGCGAAAGTGTTATCACCATACCCCTTCATCCAAAGGGTCAACCGAGTGAGCCAACGTCAGAGGACGGATTATAAAGATCGACCTTCCAACTAGGGCTCTGAAAGACAGGTTATTAGCTCACATGAGGTCAGGGCAGCAGAATTTCACGAAATATTTTGTTCATTCTTATGCCCATCGTGACTACACAGAGGAAGAGCTTGAATTTGACAGGAAACTGAGAAAGCAAGCTGGAGAACCCAATAGAAGAGCAGGGAAGCTTACGTACGTTGTGCGAGACCTGGAGATACACAAACTGAGGAATCCGAGGGAACTGCCCGCTTCAGCGCTGAGGGGAACCACCCAGGAGACACCAAGTGCGTCTTTTCATGGGCTTGTCTCTACAACCAGCCAACGGGGCTCCGACCTGAGGATTGTTGACAAAGTTTACACCAGCTCTGGTACGGGCTTCTAGGGTCAGATTTTCTCTCGCTCGAGTCCCCTTCCGCGAGAGACAGCATCCCTTTCTAAACATAACAATGAATTTATTCTGATAAATGCACGCTCGATAAATATCAAGCTTCCCGACCTTCGGAATCTACTTCTATCTAATCCCAAAGCCGTCCTGATCACAGAATCTTGGTGTAAGCCCCACCTTATATGCGACTCCACTATATCAGCTGGTCTTCCTTACCAAAAGTTTCGCTGTGATCGGGAAGGAGGAATGATGGGAGGGGAAGTCCTCGCCCCTAATTCACGATTCGGTTCTAACAGTTTTGCTTTCTTCGAGGAATTTCTCCCCATATATTCAATGCTTGACCATTCAAATCACAGTTTCTTCTCTATGTGCCATTGCTAGACCGCAGCCCTTCTTCTTCTTCTTCTTCTTCTTCTTCCTTCTTCCTTTTCCTTCTTCCCTTCTTCCTTCTTCCTTCTTCCTTCTTCCTTCTTCTTCTTCTTCCACGGAAAGCTTTCGAGAGTTCGGTGATTACTCAGGGGAACTAAGTCAAAATAAGGCTCCTGTGCCCATTGTTGGGGATTTCAATCTTCCTGAAATTTTTTGGGATAAACCTGCAAAACTGAGCACAGGAACAACGTATCCCACAATGTGCACGCTGCTTTTGAACTTCATACGGTCACATAATTTCAAGCAATACGTTGATTCCCCTACTCATTTCGCGAGCATTCTCGACTTGATTTTCTCTTACAACTCAGCTCTTGCTAATGTGAAGGTTGGGGTCTCGTTTCCCACATCTCACCATGCATCTGTGTCATTTTCAGTTGTGAGTGAACATTCTGCAATCATTCAGCCAAAAGCGATAAAGATTTCTGTCACGAAGATTACGGAGCTATCGACGCCAACGCTCAAGCAGCTTGTCGATTCCATCGCCCCGTAAGGACGGGGGCTGGGACCCGAAGAAGGCCACAATGCCGCACAATCACCACTGTGACATGGTTTTGCACTGGAATTTGCGGCATTGTAGCCTGCAGATGCAGAGAGAGTGAGTGATAGCTAGTGTGGTGAAAGAGTATCATGTACGCGTCACGCACACGTGGTGACAAAATACCACCATCCATGCAAACAAAATACGGAAAGATCAAAACAGGGTAGAAAAACTTATGCAATAACCTAATATTTGTGAGCGTTGCTGCATGTTAACTGGCGTTATATTTTTGATTCTCTCGATACTTCTAGCTTGTGCTATGATGCGTTTTTGAAATTCCTTCATGAACTCCTAAGGAAATTCGTTCCGTCTTTGACCAAAGGTTCACTTCAAGAGAAGAACCTCGACAAATTTCGCTGCTGAAGTCTAGGGTGGCGCGACTATACAACAAGGCCGGGGTTTGCAAGATCTACACTGCATGAATGCAGTCAAAGCACTTTGTAATCAATTGCACAATCTCGGAGTACGGTATGAGACGAGGGTAGCTCTGTCAAAGAATCCTAAAGGAGTTTGGAGGTATTGCTGTACCAGGCTCAGAGACGTTTCAAGTGTTGGCACAATCATAGACCAGAACAGTAAGAGGTGTGCCTCTGATGCCGACAAAGCCAAGGTTTTTGCGAATTTTTTCTGTATTTTTCATGAGCAAAAGTCCATAGAGCCGATTTCCTCAGCTGTTTACCACGAAGCCAGACTCGACCGGATAGATATTAGCTGTGAGGCGTCTACCATGTTCTGAAAAGATTACCTCTGTGCTCATCTATCACTCGTGATATGCTACCCTATATCTTTCTTAATAAGGCGGCTTTACGGCTCACTCTGCCGTTAACAACTCTGTTCAATAGATTCATCTTGAGAGGAGACGTAGAAGTGTGGCGTTCGGAATGGGTCAAGCCCATACATAAAAAGGGGCCTAAAAGTCATTTTAGAATTTGTAGACCCGTTTCTTTGACGTCCTGCATCAGTAAAGTAACGGAAAGAATTGTTTGATCTCGCATCAAAGAATATCTCGCCCAACATGATCTGCTGTCTGCCTATCAGTATGGGTTTCTTCCCAAGAAGTCTTGCCTCAGAATTCTGATGTCCACTATTCCGCTGTGGCGAAAAGCACTTGATAGGAAGAAATCCGTATTCATGGCATATGTAGATTTTAAGAAAGCTCTCGATTCGGTTCCTCTCAACCTTTTGTTTTCCTAGCTGGAAACGCTCGGGATTTCTGTTCCGCTTCTCAGATTATAATATCTTTTTTGTCATCAGGGAATCCTTTTTGTCATCAGGGAAGGCTGTCCTTATTAACGATGTTTTATCAGAACCCTGTGCAGCACCCAGCGGGGTGCCCCAGAGCACATGTCTTGGACCCCTAATGTTTTGAATGTGCATAAATGATCTTCCTCGTTTCTTGCCTGTGGGAATATGTTGAACTATATATGCTGATGATGTACTGATGACGTAAAGCTGTTCTCTATCGATGACTCACAGATACTGCAACCATCCGTGGATACTCTATGGCAGTGGTTTGTATGGGGCTTGAAAATATCTACTGAGAAGACCTATGTAATGAACCGCTCTAACACAGGGCACAGCATCGATGTGTGAAACACAAGGGGGGGGGTCGTACTCTTTTCAGCTGGGGGAGGGGGTCGTATTTGGGGTAAGACAAATTTATTTTGATAGTTGATTTTTTCTTGTGGAAAAAAGGGGTCGTATTAATTCGTATTAATTTTTTGTGTTATATGCACCCTGTACACCCGCCGGATAGACGTTGCATAATTATTGTATACCCCCCTCCCCCCCCGCTCGACGACTTTTTCGCCGACTATATACTCATTGCTCGTCAGTCGGCGAAAGTGCCCGGTCGAGCTGAGGGGGGGGGTCGTACCGACGGGGAAAAAAAGGGGGGGGGGTCGTGGCGCGGACCCCATTCGGAGGGGGGGGTCGTACTCACACCGACATTTCGGCTATCCCTATGCTGTACCCTGCTCTAACAACAGTGACTCTTCACTCAATGGAATCGAAATCGAGGAGCCTTTTTTTGGTCGGGGATCTTGGTATAAAGTACGACCAATCTCTCCTTCGAAGAATACTTAGAAGCTCGGTCAATTCACCCAAGTCACGTTCAAACTTTATTATGCGCGCTTCCTCTAGTAGACACATAAGAACACTTTTCATGCTCCTTACACTTATGTAAGACATCTTTTGGGGTAGTGTCCGCCAGTTTGGTCACCATCAACTCAGTGCCTGGTAGGTCAGATAGAGCAGGTACAAATCAGGTTCACCGAGAGAACATTTGCTTGAGCGGGCGTGTTTCGTATCCCCTATGAAGATCGCATCAGCTACCTTAGCTCCACAACACTTGAGATGAGAAGCAAAGTTATAAATTTCGACGTGTTTCAAACTCTCTAGAGGGGCTTGATATTGACTTCGACGAGCTCTTTAGGAAGTCCGTAACTGTAGGCTTAACGCTGCGGCATCCCTTTAAGCAGCTTAGAGAGAAAGCTCGTTTAGCTGTGTACAAAAATAGCTTTTCGCACAGAATCATATTTTTCTGGAACAGCTTACCAGCCGATGTCGTTGAGTCATTGTGAGCGAGATCAGTCAAGAATTAAGTCACTAAAATTCTGAGAACACAGGGCTGGCACTAGTGGTAGAGGTCATGAAATTGATCCACCTTGACTCAAGGACAGATGGATTAATGTTTGTGTTATTGTTTGTTGGGTGTTGTAAGCGTCTGTGCTTGAGTCCAGAACCTCTTTTTTCTACCTTCTTCTTATATTGATCCATTTCTTTTTTTATATTACGTGGTAGCTGATTACTGCTTGCTCTGTGTTGGCAGCTTATCTCCTACTATTGTGTTGTTATATACTGGCAGCTCAATGCTGAATGTGCCCTTTGTCCAGACTTTGGATCACTTCTCTTGCCCCTTTTCCTTGAACGCACCACATTCGGCACGATGTCAGGTGGACCTTGGTGGAGTGAACGGACCTACTGGCATGGTATCCACAGCCGCTTTGCTGATCTTGCGAATTGCAGTGTTGGTGGGCCACTGCTCTCCGCCACCAAGTGTTCCACTGCTTCCCGTTGCCCCACCCTTCTCACTTCATCCCTTAACAACTTCATTTCATGTTGCCGCTTATTAGTATCATGTTGCTGCTTATTAATTTCATGCTGCAGCTTATGGGTCATTGTGTTACATAACTACGTTGTGTTCTGTTGCTTTTGAGCGATGATGAATCATAATCATAAACTTAATCATAATCACTCTAGAGAATGGCTGAATATTAGGTCTTTTTTCCTCGCGCGTTTTTCCCTATAAGCGAA